TTGACTCCTGCAAATGCTAAAATTCACTAATATTTACTCACCGTAACTGTTATTCTTGCCAAAACCTTGAAATAAAAATCTAGTGTTTTACAATTTTCTACTTTAGCAGGTCCAGCTTACACTTAAAACAAGTAAAACTTTTAATGTGTGCAGGGGGAAAACAACAACAACCACCATACATCCGTGTAATCCATACAATTTATTAAAAATAAAAACATTTTACCTCAAGGTTTATTTTGTAGTTCTGTTTCGCAGTGCGACAGCTCTCTAGTACTCACTATTATACTGCACTGCAGGGCTGAAACGATTCATCGATTAAATCGATAAAATCAATTCATTAAATGCTTCGACACAAATTCTTTGCATCGATGCTTCGTTTAATCCATGTAACTATACAGCACAGTGTTTCCCAGGGACATTTGTTACTGTTGCACATCACACTTACGCTGTGAACACGACGTGATTATGATGGAGCTGTTTGCAAAGTGGAGGAGGAGAGAGCAAACAGCGAGGGACAAAAAAGAAAGTGTCCAAAGTATCGGATTATTTCAAGCTAAAGAAAAACAAAAAAACAACTCTGTAAAGTCCGTCCACCCCCAAACAAAATTTATGTCGCCTCAGCGACGGTACCTGACCAGAAAGCAGCCGGTGTTCTGCCAGAGACAAGGTAACAAACAGCAACTTTAGCATTTAACTGAAGTCATGATTGATTGTTGAGTGGAAGCCAAAGTAAGCTGAAAATGTACACGTGCGTTTGTTGTTCTCCTTTTTGGGCTGCGAGTTTTAACCTCACAGTCATGAGTTGAGTCCGGGAGCTGCACCTTTTAACTCACCTGCAGCTCTCTCTGCAGCTCAGACAATCCCTGCTACCTGCGTGTGCTGATCCATCCTTTCAACCAGATTCTTTGTCTTTATAATCGCCATCTTTATAATAACAAACAGCTGTTTCCTGTGCAGGATCGCTCATTTCCCGTTTCGCATTTCACGTGTTTTCTTGACAAAGCGTGGTTTGGAGACCAGCGTTGGGTGACACAGCCATCGGCTCTTGCAGTGTTTGTGACTCCCTGTCACCGATCAGAACGCCACAACACCGCAGCCGCCAAGCAAAGTACTTGTTAAACGACGCATCGCTAAATTGTTGAAATAATCTATCAAAGCTTTGAATACTCAAATCATCGTTAGCTGCAGCCCTACTGCACTGATTTAAAACTTTCTGTACCTACGAGTCATTTCAACACCAAAATAAGTGAAAGTGGGGCCCAGGTTTCAAAATACTGAGATCATCCCTTACTCATCTGTTGCTGTAGGAGTGAGTCAGAGCTTTCGTCGCCTTGATGATATCACTTCCACCAGGTTTCTTGACTAAAATAAATAATCATGAACAACTTACAGTAAATACACCTACAGAAATAGCTACGAATCAAAAAACTGTGCAAAGGAGGCTGACTAGGGCATTGGAGCCACAAGCTGAAACTTACAGTGCTGACTTGGTTACGACATCAAGCAGTGGCCCGGTGGACTGGGAAGAGCTGGAAGAGGTTGTCCCCTTGGAATCTAAGCGTAGTTCAGGAGAGAGAGGGAGGAGAGAAGAAATAAACACCATTTGTTGGTTTACACTAAAGTGTAACTGGGTCTTAGTCATAATCCATGGACTATGGTGAAAGAAATGGGAATCAAGTTTACCGTTGTCAGATCTGACAGTAAATACACCAGCGCTGGGTTGCTGTGCTCTGGATCTCATCCCCACAGAGATCTGAAACACTCCCTGTCTGGACACTTTCACAAATCTACCAGAAACCCAAATTTCTCAGCAAAGTTGAAAAATTTGAACTCGCATGAACCAGTGAAATTCACGACATATGCCTCATTTGATTTGCCGCACGGGTCAAATTCACAGGTATTCGCGTCTTTGCATTGAATTGTAATCAAGCTGCCCAAAACCCTGGATTAGCTTTCAGTGTGAACATGCCTTAAGGTTGCATCCGAAAAGTCTCCTTTCCTTGACATCGATGGAAAACGTCATGAGGTCAAGGGAAGATGTGAAGGAGAATCCTTAAGGACTTAGGAAAAGAGGACGGCGGGTCTAAGAGAATCCGACTGCTCTTTTCTAGGCAACATAATTATGCGACAGCAGATATTAGCCTACTGCCGTGATGAAACTACAATGTTCTGAAGATGGACTACAAAAAGCACATCTCTGACACTGCTCACATTCATCAACATGAATCCCAGTTATTGTCTGTAAACAGTGTTTCCCACTGAATGACAGTGTAATTGTGGCGAGAGACGAGGCAAGAGGAAGTGCTGAGTGAATATAAGCTGTGCGCTGCACAGAGCTCTGTGATCAAATACGATTTTACCCATTTTAAATAGTAGCCTAACAAAAAGCCCGTTGATAATGTGGCAGCCTGCCACAAATAAATCGGTCTGTGGGAAACACCTACTGTAGAGGTCATCCAGGGTGATCAGCATCTGTGACTGGAGTAAAATGAATTAATGGTTTTGTTGGAGGCTGCACAAGCCTACATAACGTGAGGCTACACGCTGCAAAGTTATATGACCTGCCAGTCAGATCGACATACTGCCCTCATGGTCATGTGCTGAATTACATCTTGCGGACGCGTAGCTTTAATTTCTGGAGACGTGCACAACCTACGCGCCAAAGGATCCAGCCATCTTGCGTATGCGAACGCATAGTTAAAGGCAAGTATGTCCAGGACTTAAATGTGCCCTGAATACAACAAGGACCAAAACAATAACAACACAAGTCAAGTTTCCAAATGCAATATGAAAATATTTATTTGTACCCAACAGTACCAAAAGTGTCCTGCCCAGACATTTGTCTGAGTTTGTTAGTAAATGCACATTATTAGCAATTACTTTCAGCTGGTCCCGATATTGAACTTCAGAAATGTGTTTCTATTCCTATTTAACAAATGTTTTACAATTTTCAGTGTAATCAACTCCTCTGCATAATAAAAGTAATTTCCTTTGGATATCATTAGCTTAAAAATATATATCAAACCTTTTATTAAGGAGACACACCTGGTACACAACAGATAAAAAACAGACATACAATAAATAAACAAAAGAAAAAAAAAAAACAGTCCACAATATTACACAGGCCAATTTACATCAACATTCTGGAAAAGTGCTGACTGGTCAGTCATGGCAGAAATGATACTGTTTGCAGAATCTGATTCTACACATACATCTGTATGGGATTGCACAGCAGTACTGACAAAAATTTGGCTAGCACTGCTCCATCGTGGCATCTGAAAAGCAGCAGCAATCATATCAATCATTTAAACATTAAAGTGAAAGGGAGACAAAAAAAACTTCCCTGTCTAAGGCCCTGTGTTTTTCTTTAATTCACTGAATTGGTATTTCAGATGCAGCAAGAAAAAAAACACAGTACAAAAACAATATGTAAAAAATGCATGTAAACAGTAATCCATAATAATAAATAAATAAAAGGCAACAACAGAGAGTGAGGCTGTTCAGCTGGTTAGAGTTCACAAAGCTTCCTGTGAGCTTGCTTAGGCACTCTCCTACTCTCCTTAGTGTATCTCTTAATATTCTCATATCTCATAACTACTCCACCATAAAATGTCACTTGTTTGGCATACATTCAGCTACAGACTTGTTCACAAGCAGTTCAAGTTTTATAAATACAAGTTGGTCAGCTTTTATATTTGTACAGTATCGCTGTATATAAAGTTTTTAGCGCTTTCCTTAGTTTATAATGTAAATGCTCTGTACTTGTATAGCACCTTTCTAGTCTTTTTACACTACATCGCATTCACCATTCACACACTGAGCCTTAGTGCTCAGACAGAAACTAACGTTTACACACCGGTGGAGCAGCCACCAGGGGCAACTGGGGGTTCAGTATTTTGCCCAAGGACACTTCGATATGCAGCCTGGAGGAGCAGGAGTAATTTTAACTCTTCATGCACCATATTTACACCACAGATGTAAATTTTCTGCTGGTTCTACACACGAGCTTATTGAATCCATCAGACTGAGTTTTGCTTGTGAGCTTAGAGTGACGCACAACTCCTCCATTTTAAATTGTCATTGTTAAGTGTCAGGACCAGAACGTACCAGTTTTTCAAGTGGTTCACATTTTTTTAAACACACATATCAAATACGTTATGCTGCAGCTGCTGGTCAGGTCATTTCACAAACAGAGAGTATGCGCATGATGTCACAGAACACAGTTATCCTCACTGAGTGGCAGAAAGACGACCAGCAGTGTTAGCTCGAATCAGCTAACAACACATCTAAAATGCTAAAGAGCTGCACCAGTGGTTCTTTGGTAAGCAGTTAGGATCACCGTCAAGTCCGGCTGCCTTTAATGTGAAATATTCACTTGTTTTACTCCCGGTTTGCTAAAGTAGCCATGGTAACAGATGTTTCGCCATTCAGTCCAGCGTGTGTCGGGAGGGGAAGTGACATCAACGCATACCCTCTATACAGCCTATAGTTGAGATTGTTTTTAGGTTTATTTGACGGAACGTTTCAGAGGTAGTTTCTTATCTGTATCTGGAATTAATTGTAAATTCACACGCAAAAATGACACTGCCGTTGTCATCATTCAGTTTAAAGTGCTCCCACACAGATGAGGGTTTCATTTTGTTTTCCCTTTGAAGTGAACTGGAGCAAAAAGTGGTCGGCGTGGCAGCGACCAGTGGTCGGTGTGGCAGCAAAGCAGCGACCACTAATTGACTACAATCCCTGCTGTCATCGTCTGAGTTTTGTCTCTTTTCTGGTTTATTTCAGCGTGCGCAGCCTGGCAGCAAAGCAGTGACCAGTGGTCGGGGTGGCAGCAAAGCAGCGACCACTAATTGACTACAATCCCTGCTGTCATCGTCTGATTAAGTTTTTTCTTTTTATGAAGCAAAGGATCGCAAGGTCCGGCCCGAACTAAATCCGTAGGAGGGGTTTGTTAAAGTACGGAGTGTGTAAATCAATCAAAAATGACCATAAAATTTAAAATGGCTGACTCCCTGTCTGGGTTAGGGCATAGCTCCAAGAGGCTTTTTGGTACGTGTGGAAATTTCATACATGGAGGTGAAACGTGCGGCGGGGGCTGTGTCTTTAAAGGTCATTTCCTGCTGCCAGCGGGTGGTGCTTTGACTGAGTGAATGTTAGCATGTACGTGTGTGTTTGGAGAGTTTTTGATCAGTTTTATCCCGTCGTAATTGCAATTCATTTGGGAGAAGTAGTAATAATAATTCCTTCAATTTCAAGCATGATACAATCTTTTCAATTTACAAAATAAACCAGAATAAAACGAAACTTCCCAGTCCGTAGTAAAGACCGTAGTTTCCCTCCACGACGTCTCCGCTGTTGGAACCTGAAGATCAAAGTGCATATTAGTCAGGAAATGAGTGAACAGTGGAACAGCCTCCATTTACTCTTCTATATCTTCTAATAGAGCCCGACCAAAATGGGTTTTGGGGGCCGATGACGATATTAAAGTGAAAAAGATATTTAGATTTTAATAATGATTTGGATAGTAGACCCCTTTCCTGTATAAACTACACTTAGAACAGGCCGATATTGAAAGCTAGTATGTATGTGGGCTATAAAATCTTTTCGTAAATAGATTGTTAATAAAATAGATTCCAGTCACATGTAAACAACATGTAAACAATTGCACATCAATAAATATTTGTTGCTGGAATATGTAACTTTTTCAGCCATCTGTAAACACAGAGAGAATAAACGTGTATTTCACTTTACACATAATCTGCCATAAATTCAATGTAGCACATTCACATCTAGTTCATGCCTTTACCAGCACTCTTTAATTCTAACCAAAGCTAAGAGAAACCATTTCTCATCTGTCTAAATCGTGCCGTATAGGATACAGTGAGCTGCTGTTGAATGCAACTAATACTACATGAGTGTCTACAACGAGGACCTGCAACTTTGAGATTTCATTTAACTAACGTTATAACTGCCACCAGAGCCGTTTCACATCTACAACATCACACAAAGAGGAGCTACAGGAAGCCGTGTGTGATTCTTGTTCCGCTAACGTTTATTTACATGTCTGCTCTGGTTTAATCATTTCAGACACGGCGACTAACTGCAGACAGGCGGCTGCAGATATATTTAGAATACACCAGAAACTATTGTTTAACGGCTTATCAACGTTAGCGCTCCTCCACTGATAAACTGAGGTTGGAAATAAATATTAATTGATAAAAAAGGAGGTGATGAAAATGGATGTGAAATGAAAAATAGTGTGATAAATATTCAAGTGATTTGATTAATTTTAAGTCGATTTGATTAAAACAGTAGGGATAGCATGAAAACATAACCATTTTTATTTATCAATCATCATTTACAACCCAAAATTGGCATTCATCATTTAAAGCAGGTAGCCTCAAGGGTTAAAGTAACAAAAAGTCGATAAAAAAAAAAGGAGGTGATGAAACTGTATTTCAGTTCACATGCATTGTTTAAATTTAAGGTGAATTGAAATCTAAAGTAATAAATTGTCAACTGATGTGATAAACTTCATTTACCATCAGACACGTGCAGAGGGGGGTGCAATGGGTGCTTGAGCACCTGCCCTTTTGCCCTTTGCTGCCCAAAGTGCAAAATTTCCTTAATTTTAAAAGTTGTAAAGGCCCGTTTGTGAAGGCCTGCCTGATCAAACTATCAGTAAAATCAATTAATAATAATTTCACAGTAAATAAAATGACCCAATTGATGACCTTTCAACTGATGACCTCATCTGTGACGAGCCCTCCCGTTCAGACACCGTTAGTGATTCAGCAGCTCTGCCTACAGGACACCTGCGATTCCGCCGGTAAGAGGAGTCTGCCGCTTCTTGTGGATTGTTGCAAAGAGAGCAGCACAGCTGTTGTGTATATTGCTGTGTGTCGCCCGCCTGTAGAAGTGATATCAGCTTCCGGCCGACACGCCGACAGCTAACGTTACTTCTACGCTACAAACAAAGGTGCTCTGTTCACTTCGGTCTGTTTGGGGGAGAAAAGTTTCACGGGCGTCGAGAGGTCTGATCTTTTCTATGTAATCTGACTAAAAATCTTTGCACTTGAACTAGGATTATTAAAGTAACTTAATAAAAGCCTTGTGCCTTAAAATAAGTGTAACAACACTAGTAAAATTCTAAGCCTATTCCTCCTTCAGCCCTTTAAAAAAATAATTAAATTCAGAACAGTATTGAATATATTTACATTTTGACAGCAACAGGATTTACAGCAGCTCATCTACAATAAAAACTCAATAACTGGAGGTACATATAAAAATGTCAGTGCCAATGTAAAATAAATAATATTCCTGACATCAGTAAAGATTTCAGAAACATTTATGAATTGTTAAAACAAACATAGGATTAGAGGTCGATTTTTGGCATTTTTTACCATAATCGGCATCGGCCAATATCCAAGTATATCAAGCCGATTATTAGG